GTGGTACTGGGGATTGAACCAGGGCCTTGTGCTTGCTAGTTGAGTACTCTACCACTGAGCTACATCTGTAGGCCCAGTGATTTCTTCCTTACTTCATTTTGAGCTAGATTTTTCAACTCATAAAAGCAATATCTTGTCCTTAATATTCATAATACTCAGCACCAAGACTGTATCAGACCTCACAGAGTTGGGTCAAGGAGTCACAGGGAGTCAGTATTCTGAGTTGGGTCACCCCAAACACGTATCAGAATTGTCTGATCTTCCAGCTCAGAACCCCACCTGTGATGGAACAGTGGACAGAGCATCAAGCCTATAGCTTGGTAATCCTAGGACTGAATCAAGGCTCTCTATTCACTAGCTGTGTGGCCCTGCTGCTTCTTTACTCAGTGTGGACTTCAGTTTCCTTGTTATAATAGGGACAAGAACCAATGAGGTTCTTTTGCTTTTCTGTTTTTTTTTTTTGTTTTTTTTTTTTTGGTGCCTGGGATTGAATTAAGGGGCACTTGATCACTGAGCCACATCCCCAGCCCCATTTTGTATTTCATTTAGAGAGAGATTCTCACTGAGTTGCTTAGCACCTCACTTTTGCTGAGGCTGACTTTGAACTTGAGATCCTCCTGTCTCAGCCTCTGAGCAGCTGGGATTACAGGCGTGTGCCACTGCACCCGGTCTGCTTTTCTTTCTTTCTTTCTTTTCAGAAAGGGTCTCATTATGTTGCCAGGCTGGTCTCAGATGGGCTCAAATAGTCCTCTTGCCTCAGTCTCCCAAGGAGATAGGATTACAGGTGTGTGCTACCATGCCTAGCCTAGTGAGATCCTCTGTGGAGGCCCTTGAACACTGGAGTCCACCTCTGCCTCCCTAGCAAGAAGGATTGACTCAGTAGTTCTCAGGCTTCAAAAGAGCCCACAATAGCCTTAAGGACAGAAGCTCAGATGCACCACCAAAAAAAAAAAAAAATCACCCAGGATTTGCAGAACTGAGGCAATACCCCCACTTCCACAGCAGGACCAAATTCTCACCGATGATCCCAAAGATGCCCAGGATGTTGGGGGCAAAGATAACCAGCAGGTTGATACACGTGAGCAGACCAGTCGCAATGAGCACATGCCGCAGCCAGCTGAACTCCTGATTCTGAAATAGCATCTGCTGGATGGCACGGCGCACCTGGGGGCAGGTTGGAAGAGCCATCAGCCTGTCTGCCCCATCAACCCCATTCCTCATTGGCTCAGCCACCCATCCACTGGCTCACCGGGAACAGAACAATCGGCACTGTGAGTGTGACAGCTGTCAGCACGGCCACGCGTACACACAGGATCAGAACATCAAATGGGTCCACCTTGCTGTAGGTGTGCAGCAACTCTGACTCCACCCCGTCTGTGGCGAGCAGGGAAGGTGGTCAGCAGGCCAGGGGTGTTGGACTCTGAGCTGCCTGGTGGACCCTGACACTTTGGGGAGTGGCACTCAGACTCACCTCCACAGCTGCAGGGCATAGGCAGGTATCATGCACCTAATGAGCACCTATAGTATTCAGGGCACCATGGCTGCTGACCAGCCCCTGTCACCCAACCTGGCCTCTGCCCTAGTCCCCACTGGTCCAGTCATACCGTAGAAGGTGAGGTAGCCGAAGAGAGCAGCCAAGAAGTACATGACGTACATGACGGCAATGGACAGGTTGGAGATATGTTGCATCTTTCTCTTGGAGGGGCTATGAGGCAGTAAAGAAGAGAGCTTAGTGACAAGTTGGGCCACATCTGGAGAACTCCATGTGCCAGTCACTTTGGTACCACATCCTCACTATTTGACAGAAGAAGGGAGTCTCCTTCTTGCCCTGAATGTCTTCATAGCAGTCATGGATATCTCTGGCCAGGTAACTTGGATTGTGTTAACCTCCTTGCCCCCTCCCACCCTGGTCCCATCCATTCTCCCCAAACCAGCTCAAGGCAGCCCCAATCCCTCTTCCATCCACAGACACGTACTCCTTGAGCTCTGTGTAGATGGGTAGCACCTCAGGGTGGCAGACGAAGGCGAAGGCCATGATGGGTATGGTATATGCTGTCTGAGGACATATGGGGTTGTGTCAAGCCAGCTCCTTGCCACCAGGCCCCCCCATCCCTACCATGGCCTGTTGGAACCTGTGAGTTGAGTGTGAAGTAGCTCGGGGTACAGAGGGCAGCAGCCTCAGGTTCTCCTTGCAGCTGCACTTTCTCCTCAAGGATTTCTGTGTGGCTGAAGTTGCCAGTGACGTTGGCTAAGTTGAGAGGCAGGGGACAGGGAACTTGGAATTTTTTGTAGATGACCTTGGGTGGGAAAGGATGAGGGTTTCAGAGCCAGGCTGGGCTGCCTGTGAGGTCACCATGAAGCCATATCTAGATCACAAACTGGAGGAGCTACTTTTTTTTTTCTGGTACCAGGGATTGAACTCAGGGGCATTAGACTACTGAGCCACATCCCCAGACTATTTTGTATTTAATAGAGACAGGGTCTCACTGAGTTGCTTAGTGCCTTGCTGAATTACTGAGGCTGGCTTTGAACTTGTGGGCCACTGGGATTACAGGCGTGTGCCACCCCGCCTGGCCTGGAGAAGCTACTTTCTGATCCAGGCATCCCCCAAACATCTGTACCTTCTCTTTGACAGAGGACTCCCCTACCCCTTTCTTGACCAACATGGAGGGTGACTCACAGCAATTAGGAAGAACACCATGCAGCTGAGAGAGAAGCCACTGGAGTAGCCCAAATAGCCTGCAAAATGGAGAGGATGGCTGTGAGAGTGGAGCTCTCTCATGTGTTCCTCCAATATCCCCTCCAAGAGAACTGTGAGATTGGGATCCCTTCTGTACATCCCTCCAACATCCCCTCCAAGGTCTGACCCTACCACACCCACCAAGCTGCCGCATCAGTGCCAAGGGCAGAATGACAGTGACGGACACCAGGATCACCAGGTAGTTCCCATTCATGTACCAGATCCTGTAGGGATGGGAATGGGGTGCCAGGGTTTAAGTCCACCACTTGGCCTGGGATGGGGCCACCTGCCTCCCCCAGTTAGGGACACCAGCAGAGCTACTGAATAACCTCTGAAAATCTTTGATCATAGCTGAGTCTCCTTGCTCTGAATTACAAAATGGGCACACTCTCACACTCTCCTTCTATGTGATGTGAGGACAAATGTGCTAACCTAGCACATGGTTTGTGCTTACTATTGCAGTTCCTGCTGGTGTTTTCATAGCACACATAGGTCTGGGTTGAGCCCTCCTGAGGGAGATGAGTGAGATGAGGGACCTTCCTCTGGGAGGTGGTGTTTTCCATGGGGGCCTCAGGGACTTGCTTATGACCCTGTGGTTCCTCCTGGCATCTGCATTTTGCATCACCCCACCCCCTCAACCTCCTAGAAATGGACATGAGGTTCAGGGAGGTAAGGGGATAAGGGCCAGGACCATCTTTCTAGGACAAACCCAAAGGCCAACTCCTTGGGAAAGGTGGTGGAGTCTTGGAGGCAGTATCCTGGCTCTTCCTGCCTCCCAGAGCTTCACTCAGGCTCACAGCCCCTTCACTTGCTTGGGCTGGGCTGCAAGAGCAGAGCTGGCCACCTTCTCTCTGATTCCCACCCACAAGACAAAGTTGATACCTAGTCAGTGCTGGCTAAAGCAATGGGCAACCAGGACAACCGGGGCTTAATCTCTTGGTGGGAGGAGAGGCGGGGCTGACCCCATGGTCAGGAATAGTAGGTGCTTAGAGATAAGCCTGAGGCTGTCATGCTCACAGGAGGGGTCCAAGCCCAGGCAGGCCCAGCTTCCTCACTCTCACCTTGGTCCCAGCCCCAGGTGTCCCCATCTGGGGAGGGGTTCACTTAGGTGGTCCATAAACAAGTGGGAGCTAAGTGCTGGCTCTGCTGGCAGCTTTCTGTCCTTCCACCAGCCCTATGTCCACAATCTCATCTTCCCCCAAAACCCAGCCTGGGCCCCCCAGGGCCAGTGGACACAGGGAGGGGGGACTAGGACCTCCCACCCTCACCCCCACCCCCAGGGCTCACGAGGTCTTCTCCTCCAGGTTCAGGAATGTCTGTATGACAAGAGGCAGCTCAGATTTGATGATGTACAGATAGCTGGACATGGCTAGGGAGAGGGGAAAAAGTTGCTGGGGTCAGCCAAAACAGCCAGCCCTCAGCTCTGTACATCACTAATTGCCTGCCACCTGCCCACTGGTTTTACCTCCAATGTTCTGCAGTGTGATGGCCAGGGCTGCTGCCAACTTTCCAGGAGTTCCAAAGGCACGGTAGCCCAGCTGCTCATAGGCGCGGATGCCTGTAGGAACAGGGGATCAGGACAGCCTGGGTAGCTCATACCAGTCTGCTCCAGCTCCACCCTTTTGCAGACTGGTGGGAGGCTCACCCACAATTCCTGAGGATTTGAGAAGCAGGTGGATGGAATAGCTAGAGAGGAGGGCCACGGCCGTCAATAGGAACCTGGGGAAAACGGAGAAAAAGAAGCCACTAGGGACTCCCCTGGCTGCTAGGGGGTAAGGGTGTCTAGGAAGCCTGGGGAGGTCTATCATCTGGACCCCTGACTGGATGTAGATGCAGGCTCTACATGCCTGGTGGTGTGAGTACCATTTTGTTTGACTGAACATGGTACATAACCCAGAAGGGTCCCTGTGGGTCAAGAGCAACCTATGACTAAGGAGTTCTTGGGATAAATATGTTTTCCATTCAGGCTTCAGGGCAGATCCCCCAGACCAAGACATGTGTGCCACACAGGTCCTGGCCACAGGGTTTGACCATAACATGTAGACTTGGGCCTGTAAAGCCGGCTCTGTGTCATGGCCTCAGTGGGTTTTCTGGGCTGTGAAGTATATTTGTCTGGCTGTGGATGTTTGCGCAGACGTGGTTTGGGTTTAGAGTAAAAGGTCTCCACCCACTGAACAGGGAACTAGTGGGTCCTAGGAGGTCATGGTGGTGGCTTATTCAGGGCTCCCCATCTACACAAGTTTTGCTGAAGGCACTCACAGGAAAAGGATGATGCCTGTATTGGCCATGGCATAGGCGAGTCCCAGGATGCCACTGCCCATGATGGCATTGCTGAGGTTGAACACTGACATCCCAAACGACGTCTTCCCCTCGAACTGCAGGCACCAGAATGGGGTGGTGAAATGGCAGCAAGACTAGGGCATTGTGTCATTCCCCTTGCTGTCACTCAGCCTCCCATCATCATCAATGAGCATGTATTACTGCAACCAAGCTCCCCACAGTGCCCCCAAACCCCTTAGGCTAGCTGGCTTACATCGGTGAAGTGTGGCTCCTTGCTGGGGCTTTTCTGTAAGAAGCCCTTACTTTCCACACAGCTCTGTCGAGAGTCCTCAGCTCTGCAGACACAGGCCAGGAAAGGCAGCTCAGTACCAGTCTTGTACTCTGTACCCCTGCCCTGCACTGTCCCGGCCACCACTGGGACATACCTCTGGTTGTCTACATACCTCTGGTTGCCTGCTGTGGGTGTGCTGACTGGGAGCAGCCCCTCCATGTGTTTGCCATTGGGCACCAGCTCCACCATCTCTGTCTGCAGAGGTACCTCCATGGCTCAGGGACGACCACTGGGAGTATAGTTCTCACACCAACAATCAGGCTATCTGTGGAGCAGCCAGTCCCTCTGGTTATCCCCTCTCTGTGGCCCACTGCCCAGTTCCTCAAATGAGGCCAGAAACCATAGCATCCACCCAAAAGGTCACTCAGGACACACACACACACGCGCACACACACACACACATGCAACTTGCCTGCTGTCTCTCTGTGATCTGCCTTTGTAGAGGGCACAGCTTGGACACCTGAGTATATCCTAATAGGACACCTCTGCCAGCACAACTCCCCTACATACTCTAGCCTAGTCAAGCCTTTGGGGCCTCAGTTTCCCCATCTGTGAAGTGAGGGTCATCTGGATGACCCAATTCTGAGCCCAATGGCATCAGGGCCCCTGGATGCTGAGTCCTAGGCTCCCAGACTCTACTCTGGGTTTGCACCCTGGATGGACTTCCTCCTTCCACACTAGTCCTGGGAGATAGTTTTATGCACTGGCCCTGTGTGCCAGGGCATTCTGACCAATATAGAATGGCACTGCCCAACAGCTAGAGGCCTCAGGAGAGGGTGAGGGCTGTGGGCTCTGTTCCCAGCCGCCCGGCGGGCACTGCTGGCAGCCAAAACAAAGGGCCCTCTGTGGGCTGAGAGCTGGCGCTGGGAACAGCAGGCGCAGAGGCTGCCCGCCCTCCCAGAGCCAGGAGGCCTGAGGCAGTGCTGGGTGACTGGACACCTGGGCCCTTCCTGCCTGGCTATGGCGAAAGGCCCTCAGGGGACCTTCCAGGAAATGGGTGTTCCATGGCTCAGTTCTCTGGACCTCATGGTCTTCATCTTCCACACAGTCCTGGCCCCAGGACCATGTTCTCCTTGTAGCCTCTCCTCTCCTCCAGGGAGGCCCCAGTGCTCATGTGCCCATTATCCAGGATCACACCTCCAAGCAGAACTCTCATTCCCTGAGTCCCTGGACAGAGCTCAGGAGCTCGGCCACCTGAGGAGGAGCCTAGATCACCAGGTCAGTGTCCTTTTCTCTGTTCTCAGGGCCTGGCCTAGCTGGATTCTAGGATCCAGCTTCCCTCCGCTCCCCCCTGCACACTACCCAGACAACTTACTGGCCCCTCGCCCACCAGTGGGGCCTGGAGTTGCCTATCCCATGCCCAGAACGTGTCTGAATCCAGGGTCTGTCGGGACATCACAGACTGGCTAGTAGGAGAACTGAGCCAGAGTGAAGATCAGGAAAGGTGGTTCTGCCTGGAAGGTTGGCCAGAGACTAGTTCTGGGGCCATGGTGCCCTTCTGCTTGGGAACCCCAAGTTCTGCCCTGAATCCCCATTTCCCACTGTAGACCCTTGGGTCTGCTCTTGAGTCTAGAGCGCCAGGGAACTCAAACCAACACTATGTGCTGGGAACAATGAGGAGATGGGGATAGCTGCCTCACATTACCACTACAGGATCCCCCTTTCCATTGCCCCAGATCAGAGTTCAGATCCCTGTCATCTCAGGCCTGGAGATCCCATACCTGGCATCCTACATGCCTCTGCTCCTCAGCTGTCAGCTCTGAGCATCCCTCCCCTCCCAGCCAACTTAGCTAGGACATATGTTAAAATTTCTCTCTTTTTTTTTGGGTATAGTTCAATCTTTTGAAGATTGAACCCAGAGGTGCTTTACCACTGAGATACCCACCCCCCAGCCATTTTTTAAATTTCAAGACGTGTCCCACTAAGATACCCAGGCTGGCCCTGAACTTACAGTCCTGCCTCAGCCACTTGAATAGCTAGCATTACAGCTGTGTACCACCATACCTGGCTTGATATCTCATCTTGAGCCCTCTTTCCCTAGTCCAGGGTTCCCTAGGCCAGCCTGTTCTCATGCCCCTGCCTAACTCTTGCCATCAGAGTCCCTCTAAGGATTCCACCTGGATGCACAGGTACCAGTGACGGGTCTCCAGAGTCCCTCCAGAGCTCCCCCTGGCACTAAGCCAGGGTTGCCCTTGCCTGGCCCCCAGCCCTGGGCAAGCTAGGACAGGCCCTTGGAGTGTGCTGAGTCGGCAGCAGGCACAAAGCACCCTTCTCTGTCTTAATAACCAAGGTCTGAGGGCTTGTCTGGGCTGGTGTGTGTAGGGGGTGCACTATACACTGGCTACGGTGTCCCATCAGGACACCTAGCAGCCAGACACTGCCTCCAGGGAAACCCCAATCCATGGCATGGGCCTTGGGAGGTGTATGAGGTTCTGGCTCTAGGTTCACTATCCCCCTGCTGGATGGAGGCTTCAACCTTTGGGGTCTGGTGGTCATTATTCACTCATAACCAGTCATTGCTGGGTCTCAGGCTGGGCTGAGATTCCAGAAAGGACATGAAATATCCCTCTTCAAGTGACCTCCAGTCTGGAAGCAGGGGGAAAAAAGAGCAAAAAACAATTAAACAAATTCCACCCCTCTACACTACCCTAAAGTTCCTGCTACAAATATGAACCACATTGTACTTGGACTCAGAGAAGGGGAAAGAGGGCCTGGGGACATAGCTCAATGACACAGTACTAGCCTAGCATGTGTGAGGTTCTGGGTTCTATTTTCAGCACAGCAAAAAAAGACAAGAAAAAGGGAGTGGGGTAAAAGGAGTCATCAAGGAGGGTGATGAAGCCAGTCCTAAAATTCCAATAGGAGGCCCTGAGGTGTGGAATAGGAAAGAGGACCTCAGAGGGCTAAGCATGGGCAACGCTTCTGTGGTGTGGGGCAGGCAGTGAGGGTGGAATGAAGTTGTTGTGGCTACAGACAAGCCTGAAAGGCCATGGCAAAGTCTGTACACAGGTCAAGGCCAGGCCTGAGGACTATGGTGCCAGAGTGGGATTAGCTCTGGCCTGGCACTCAGGACCGTAGCCATTCCCTGAGGCTGCTAGCCCATCTTTGAAAGCTCTCACCCCTCAGGCTTGGTGCCTCCCACAATCCTTTGCATTGGGGAGTCAGGAAAAACTCAGAGGGGAGCCCCTGAAGGACAGCTGCCAGTGAAGCCTGACCCATGGTGGTGAAAGCCTGGACTAGACCTGAGGCAAAGGTCTGGCCTGGCCAGCCTCACTGTGTAGCCATAGAAAGAGTATTCCTGAGACAGGGTTTCCATGACCTCTGGCATCCAGGTTTCCTATGAGGCTTGGCCAAAGTTGAGGATAGAATGAGGAGCCTCCCTAAAGCCTTTGCCCCGAGAACAGACCATAGGTACCCAGAGAAAAGTCAAGCATTACAACAGGGAGATCATTATGACTGTGGGAAAGTCATCAAAATGGCATCTGTCACGGGTACAGAATTGATGTCCTGAGCTCCTGCTCTGGGAGTTATTTGCTCTACTGGGAGAGAAGACCAGGGGGCCCAGGAGCCACAGGATGGTGTAGCAGGTAACACCTGCCCACGCGGGCATCACGGAGTGAGAATTCATCAGGCACACCTCTGCAGGTGTTGAGTTTGGCTAATTAAAGACTTTCAGGCCCAGGAATCCAGGCCACTGTGGGGTGATTGCTTTCGTCAGCCATTACAGGAAGCACACCTCTTTGCCCTGGGATCAAGGTCCTTGGAGTCCCCAGGCTCTGAATCCTGCTTTCCTTTCCAATGCTCAGGGACACAAGTCCATCTGCAGGGGTGGGCTGGCTACAGGGAGACATCTGCTTGCCCTTCCTTTGGTCCTGTGGCCACATGCACTGATGGAGGCATAACCCCATTGATAATATTGCTATAGGCCAGGCTTCCAATACCTAGAGAGTCCTGACGTCAGTCCAAGGAGGACCTGGGGAGAAGCAGCTAGTGTGGCTTGAGGTCTGCTGTGGTTATCCCTGGGTGAGGTTTGGAGTGAGGCTGTCCACAGTTCCAACTCTGCCCATCCTTACCATTCCCCTCGTTGGCTGAGACAGGGCACTCACACTACCCAGCTACCCCTCTGCCCACCATCTTCTCCAGGCTTCAGGGGAAAGAAAATCCTTTCTAAGGCAGAGTATAAGTCAGTGGGTAAACTAGATGCAATCAACATATTTGAATTGTGTATCCTCCAGGCACAGCCAGGGGCTGCTGGGAGCTGAGGTCAGAGGTCTAGGGCTAGGGCAAGTAGGAGGCTATTAGAATAGGGGAGAGTACAAAAACACCCCCTCGTTCCTCCCCCAGGCCACAACCCCATATTTTATCCCAGTCCCCCATCTGCCACTCCTCATTGTCAATAACACATAACAAAAAGTAGCCAACCCTGGGCTGGTTCTGAGGGGGTAATGTACAGGAGGGGGCACATTCAGAGAAAGGTTAATGGCCCAGAACATTAATAGAGTCACCACACCAAACTCTCATTTCCCAGCTCCCTGGTTCTGGGATTAGGGCTCTCTGTGTCTGTGATCTGGGCATCCGGAAGTGTCTAGGAGGATCTGAGAGTCCCAACCAGGACCGGAAGGTAGACTTTCCTTTGGTGGGGAACATTTCCTAGACATCCAACAGATGCTTACCAGCCGCGTAGGCTTTGCCTCCTACCCAGCCCTGGACCCTCCTTGCTCAGGCTTCCTCCATTGGAGGTTGTAACCAGAACCTCTTGACTCAAGACTGGGCTAGAAGCCAGGTGTTGTGGCACAAACCTATATCCCAGCTTCTTGAGAGGCTGAGGCAGGAGGACTGCTTGAGCACAGGAGTTTAAGCACAGCCTGGGCAACAGAGCAAGACCCTGTCTCAAAAAAAAAAAAAAAAAAAAAAGACTGGGCTAGAGCCAGCAGCACCTCCCTCTCCCCCTCCATTGCCAGCATGCTGAGAGGGACGTGCAGCCAGAGGCCCAGCAGAGGCAAAGGACAGGACATCACGTGACTGTGGCCCCCCAGGGGCAGGGGAGACCCTGCGCCAGCCAACTCATCTTCCTCCCTGCTGACCCGGAATCCCCTGGAGGCGGCCAAATATTTGGACAGCCGGACTTCTGGCCCCAAAGAAAGCTGGAACACAGGCCACGGGCAGTTCAGGACTCATTGGAGACCATGATGGGGGGCTAAAGGCAAGGTCAGCCTGGAGGAGGGGTGACATCCAACATCAGGAAGAAGCAGAGAGAGGCAGAGGGAGGGAAGAGAGAGACTGGGAGAGATCAGGGAGAGAAAGCACACACACATTCAATATATGCACCCATGCATACTGATCTAGGCAGACAGACAGACAGACAGACAGAGGCCTAGCCCAGGGAACTACAAGAAAAATGGGTATGGATAAAGAGACACAGACAGAGAAAAACAGAGAGACAAAAATCACATGTAATAGGTAGACAGATATTCAGACAGGGAGACAGAAACAGAGACAACCAGAGAGGTAGGAAACAGAAAAGTCCAACCAGTCAAAGATAGCCAGATGGAAAAAGACACAGACAGACTGAAAGAGATGGTGGAACGAGACAGACAAGTAAAGACAGAAAACCCCAGAAGGAAGAAGAAGGGGAGAGGGGCTGGATGTGGTAATACATCTGTAATCCCAGTGACTCGGGATGCTGAGACAGGAGAACTGCAAATTTGAGGCCAGCCTTAGTAACTTAGAGAGACCTTCAGCAACTTAATGAGAATTGGTCTCAAAATAAAAAATACCAAAGAGAGAGAGAGAGAGAGAGAGAGAGAAAGAGACACCAGAATGCCCACATGAGGGGGCAAGATGCTCAGTGGGCACTGCAGGAATGACCAGATAGAACCCCATACAAAGGCAACCACTGCATCTTTACATCTTTGCCAGGGCAGGTTATGACCCCGCTGGCTAGGGACAATTGTCATCTAGAGGTTGCAGCAAAACCCACTAGGGTCACAAGGCCAGTATCAGCCATCTGAAGCACCTCTGGTCCAGCACCTGAAGTTTTACTATTGGAACAATGGAAAAGACATGCAAAAATGATGGTCAGTTATAGTGACTCCTATTCCCAATGACCATACACGTGTGCAGACGTGCTGGCTGAGAGGCTGTGTACAGGACGTGGCCTGCAGAGCGGAAATTCAAAACCAAGCCACCCTAGGCTACTGGCAGGAAAGGCCCTCCTGCCCAGCAGCTGGTCCTTTCCTTTGGCCTCTAGAAGCCCCGCCTGGTCCTTAAGAGCCCCACCCTGCCCTCCCATCCAAAGTCAAAGGTCCACCTCTTCAGTACTCTTCCACCCACAAGACTGAGTACTCATGAGTCACACAGTAAGTGCTTAATAAGTGTTGGATGAATGGAATGAGTTCAAGCCCCTAGGCAAGCCCTCAGTCCATCTAACCTGCTCTAAGTGGGGCTTGACCCTGATCATATCTGTACAAGAACATACTTCCACAGGGCCGCCATCCCAACACAGCATAGACTACAAATCCCATCCCAGCTTTTCGTGCACATAAAGGTCAAAACTGCATCTCCCTGGTAGCCAGTCAACCCCTTCCCTTGCAAATGTTTCATTTTCCTCTGAAACTGAATGTCTGACCTCACACTCAGCCAAGACTTCCAAGGTGTGCTCAATTCAACTTGAAATCTTTCCCCATACTGGCCCAGAGACTATGAATCACCAGCCTAATCTCATTGTGCCTCAGTTTCCCCATTTGCCTTACTAGAGTAGTGGCATAAGGACAGAAAGCAACCAACTATTGTGATCTGGCCACTTGGAGCCCTGGACCTGGGGGTGGGGTGGGCTTGTAACATGGGCCACAAGAACCAACACTCAACAGAATGGCTTGAGAGGCCCATGAGGACATAGGCTCTATGGGCCCAGGCACAATGAAGTTCTGAAATACACTTCCATCCTCCCCAGAGTCAATCCCCTACACCCACTCCTAAGAAGTCAGATTGCCATTCTTGATTTCAGTTATTCCAGTTCTCTCAGAGATGGGACAGGCCTGGTCCTATCCACTCCAGATCCCTCCCTCAGTAGGGGCTCCCAGAGGGATGGCTTCCATGACTGTATGAACCTCCCCCTTTCAAAAAGGAACTGTCCTTGGATCTCTAGCTTTATGTCACCCAGAATGAGAACTGGAAGGGTCTGGCCTCCCTTCTACAAGGAACTAAGCCCCTATTCCAGACCAAGTACCTCTTCCATGAGCAGCAAAGTATCAGGAGGCAATCACCGAAGGAAGGACAGAGCTAACAGGCTGAAGGAAGGATGGGCATGGGAAGGGGTGTTTTCTCCGTGCTGCTCAGGACTCCAGGGCCATTGAATTAGCCCTCCTCAGCTCCATTGGAGAGTCTACACCTGGGCTCAGGGTTCAGGTCGGGGTGGAGGGAGGGAAGAACCCCACAGGTCCCATCCTTGACCTCCTTCCTCGGGTGTAAACAAAAGCACGCATTCGTTGTGGCCAATGGAAGGGGACAATTCAGCCAGGGCGGGCTCATGCAAACCGCGTCTTGGACCCTTTTCTCCGCGTGTGCGCTGGGCTAGGCTCTTATAACCCGCCGCCCGGCATAGTTGCCAGGTGGGGAGGAGCGCACAAGGCGTCCCGCACTTAGGCCAAAGAGCCACGCGAGCCCTGCGCCCGCGGTGCCCGCTGGCCCCGCTGCAAATGGCACTGGCTCTGGGGCCAGCATGTACCCCGCGGCCCCTCAGGCGGTCCGGCCCGATCTGCCCTCAAACCCCTGCCCAAAGAGGCCAGGATAAATATACTCGGATTCCGGGCGTGCCAGCCAGTGGCTCTGCCTGTTAGGCTCCCGTCGGGGCAGCGCTCCAGGGACTGCTCCGGGGCCCTCTTGAGTCGTCCTCCGGGACCTCTCTAGCCCGCCCCGCGGGCCATGCCTCTGGGAACCTGGTCGGGTGCTGCCTGAGTGCCCAACAAGGCGTCCTATGATCCCAGTTCTGGGGGCCGCTGATCTCCTGCTGTCCAGCCTGGCCCTCCCGAAAACCCCCAGTGGACCAGGCGCCCCTTCCGGAACCCTGGCTCAAGCCTGGAACTGAGTCCGGACTGGCAGGTCCGCAGACCAGTGCCTGGAGCGCGCGGGGTTCTAACTTGCCGGAGGCTAGGGCGCTTGCCTAGGTCGCAGAGGTCGAAAGGTGCTATCCAGAGCTTGCAACAGACGCCAGCTAGGCGAGTAAGACAGAGCTCGCCCGGGGGCCCTCAGCCTGTAGCCCGACGTCCCCAGTGGTACCTGGCCTCGTGGGTGGGCACGCGCGGCGCTTGGCTCAGGCTGGCTCGGTCTGCTCTGCTCTCCAACTGAGCGCGGGGCTGCAACAGAGCCAGCAGAGGCTGGGGATGAAGGGCGCTCGGCCCCGCCCCCGGTCCGCCCCCGGCCCGCCAATCCCCGGCGGCCCAAAGGAGGAGGGGCTGTCCGAAGAGGGACGGGGGCGGGACCGGCCTGGAGCAGAGGGGCAGCTGGGGCGAAGGGAGTCCCTAGGTTTTGGAGTGCTTACTTGGTTTTTTAAGGATTGGCGAAATGCTTCAGGCCAAAACAGATTCTCTCAGAGGTCTCTTGGTGATCTAAACCCCTGAAATGCTCTGCCCTCCTGTCTTTGAAGCCAGAGGGAATCTTTAGTCAAGAGGAATGGGAAAGCTTAACTTCAGTGAAGGGTGCTCTGCAAGGTGTACTTTTAGACATTACTTAGGCATTTCTTTCTTTCTTTCTTTCTTTTTTGGTGTGTGTGTGTTTGTGTGTGTGTGTGTGTGTGTGTGTGTGTGTGTGTTGGTACTGAGGATTGGGCCCAGTCCCTCTACCACTGAGAACTTTTTTATTTTTCGTTTTGAGACAAGATCTTACAAAGTTGCCCAGGCTGGCCTCAAATTCACCATCTTTTTGCTTAAGCCTCTCCAGTAGCTGGGACTGCAGGCATGGCCACCTCACCCTTCTTAATCAGTGATGGGATGATGGGGGTGGGAATGGGAAGGACTTCCTATTATCAATTCACCCCAGATATTTAGAAGAAAGTATTATTGAGGCTGGAAAGACAGGAGTAGGGGAAGTGAGGACAGGAAGGGAGTCAGGTGACCTCTCTCTGTGTCTTGCCTGGGGCCTTCTAGATCATGCCCTCCAGGCTGGCCCTGCTCTGGGGACAGAGGTTTTAGGGTGGCCTCCTTCTTGACTCAAGGCTTCTGTCCCACCCTGTCTGCTTCTCAACTAGGGCCTTGGTGCTTAGAGGTGGCTAGTAGGTGTAAAGCTCCAGGTCCAGCCAACAGGGAGCTGGGGGGAGGCATTGACCTTTCAGGATAAACTGGAGGGGGGTTTTCCAGAACAGCTGTGCCCCTTGCTTCTCAGCCACTGGCTCTGATCCGATTAATCCCATGGCCTCTGCTGTTCCTATCCACGCTGGACTTCTCTGTGTCATGTCTGCCCCACTTCCTGTTGTGGGGGGAATGCCTTCAGAGGACAAGCCTCACCCCTCCCCTGCCATGGGCTGGGAGTCAGGACTCCCAGAATCCAGGACTTCTGGATTCTCTTCCTGCTGACTCATAGCCAAGCCTTAGCATACCTCAGTTTCCCTCTGTATCACAAGGAAAAGGCTTTGTCTTTCCCTGAACCTGAGGAGTATGGGCGAAAGGAAAGCTGTATGCTATGGTCAGGGGTCCAGGAGGGCTAAAGAGAAATGTATTGGGATGGGGGAAACCTCCAAAAACCTCAAGTCACCTAATTCCTGCCTTGTCAGTAAAAGGGACTTGGCTTTGCCTCCTGGGGCTATATAATTGACAGGATGGAGCTCACTATGATCATGAGGGGCCATTAGACTCCCACTATCCAAAGGACATAGACAGAACCCTGGATGTTCAAGGAGCCATTTACAAAGAGCTACTGGCTCCCATTGGCAGTTTGTTTTTTCATTACTTTTTTTCTATTTGCATTTGATACTGGGGGTTGAACCCAGGGAAGCTCTACCACTGATCCACATTCCTGTCCCTTTTTTTAAAAAATTCTTTAAACCTTTATTTATTTTTATGTGGTGCTGAGGATAGAACCCAGTGCCTCAAACATGCTAGGCAAGTGCTCTACCACTGACCTATAGCCCCAGTCCCCCAGCCCTATATTTTTAGACAGTAATGTCTAAGTTGCTGGAGGCCTTCCTAAGTTACTGAGGCTTATCTCAAACTTGCAATATTCCTGCCTCAGTCTCCCTAGTAGCTGGAATTACAGGCATGTACAGGCAAATCCAGCTCCACTGGCAGTTCTGATGAGCTAGACCTGGTTCAAGGTCATCCAGCATGTGAGTGTAGAGGTCCTCAATTTATACTGGAGGGAGCAGGTCTGGCTGGACTGAGCTGCTGTGGAAGTCCCAGAGAAGGATATGATGTGGGGTCCCTGGGCCAGACTAGTTGTGGCCAGGCTGGGGGAGGAGCTGACTGTTTTGTTGTTGTTAGGCCTGGGCCCCCGCCAGGGCAAACACAGCACTGAGGCCTTTCCCACCACCTGCCGAATCTCCCAGCCCAGCCTGCAGTGGCTGGACAGCTGGGCAGCAGAGATGGGGCTAAGTGAGCTGCCAGGCACCTTCTCCCAGAGACCAGAGGGAATGTCTATCCATGCAACTGCTGTGTAGGGAGCAGCAGCTTGGGAGTAAGGGAGGTTTTATCTCCTGCATCAGCCCAGCTGCTGCTTCCACTCTTCCATCTCTGCATCTCAAACACAGGTCCAGGAAAGTACCAGACATATGGAGCAGAATTTAGGGTCCCCAGGATTGCCAGATCCTTCTTTCACTATTTCAGAAACCTCTCACTCACCCCACCCTTTCCAGTCATGAACACTGAGCCTCCAGCAAGGCAGCCTCTTCTCATGACACCACCATATCCACTGGCCCACATCTACTTGATGTCCCAAGACCCTCTCCTAACAGTGATGTCCCATCTTCACCTCTAACCCAGTCCTCAGAACCCAGCATCTGGATCCACTGGCTACTTAGGCACCCTTCAGGCTCCTTCCCTCACCTTCAATTGGCCTACCTGATATCCCCCCACCTGCTCCCAGTACCCCCACCTCCACCCTATGCCTTGGCCCAGCTGGCCACACATGATCCTGCTCTTCCCAGAATATTCTAGTCTTCATGCTGCTGTGCTTCTGCCCTCGTGCTTCCTAAGGCACGAGGTCCCACCTCCTTGGCAAACTTCTATTTGTCCCTTAGCACACAAATAGAAGATCATCTCTGAGAACCCTGCCTGAGTCACCAGAAGAGCCAGCTATCCCAGGATTCACTGTGGTGGCCCTACCATCTCACTCAGTTCCAGCCTCCACATCTCCAAGTGCTCTCTATGGTCTAAATGGGAAAGCACCTTTCAGAATGGAGGGCATGAATCAAGGAAAATCAATAGCCAAGCCAGACTCTGGCTTGACTCTGCCAAGGAGAAGGAAGACACATGCCAAGGTTGGGAAGAGAAAGGACCCACAGGTGGAGAAAACCAGAATGCATGTGAAATCAGCACTTGTTAAGTGGAGAGCTGTGTGCAGGGACAGGACACTTGCTCTGGAGTTCTTAGAGATTCAAAGGCCTCATAGAAAATGATGGTTCTCACTCTATTCACCAGGGTCAAGGGCTCAGGCCCATGCACCTGACCACATTCTTAGTTTGGTACCTTGGAGGCTGCTCTTTGAGCATGAAGGACCTTCTCTCCAAGAAGTTTATTAGAATGAAGTAGTGTAGGGGGTAATGACAGGGATTTAGTGGGCAGAGGCAAAGGAGAGTTTAATCTTACACACAAAGTGTGGAATTGTGGAGGGGATCCATAGGAAACCCTGCTATTTAGCCTTCCCCAGTCTGAGGGCCAGGGCTGGTGCCTCTTGTCCTAGGCCTGCCCCTGCAGCTCTGGCATGCCCGCCCTCTTTCCCCTGAGATCTGGCCCCCAGCTTCTCTGGCCACTGAAGCGGCTTAATGATCCCAGGTCACATGGGCTGTGCTGCTGCCCATGGGGAGGGCCCAAACCCCCAGTGGTCATCTGGCCAGGCCCTGACGTCAGCAGCATTAACCGTCCACTAGGCTTGTCTAATCTCTGGTCAGTGACTAGGCTAGGTTAGTCCTGTCAGAGCCAGAGCTAAAGACCACAGAGTCCCTCAGGGACACCTTGAGATTATAAGTCAAGAGAGATGGTGGTGGCTGGTGGTGCCCATAGTAAATGTCCCCCACCTACATGACAGGTGAGGCCATGGTCCTGATTCTAGGCCAGCTCTCTCTGATTCAATACCCTGGACTGTGAATCGGTCATCAGGCCACTGATCCTGTTCCTTCGGATGTAATTACACTGGTAAGTGGGGCTGAGAAGTGAGGTGAGTGGCTGGAGACAAAGCTCCCCCACACCCCATTTGCTGGTCATAGATGAGGTAGCTTGAGGCCAAGCAGTGTCTCCAGCCCTCATGATCCAGGCCCACCAATCTTTAATCCCAGACTCTAAAGTCAGAACCATCTGTGGAGGGCAGGGTCCAGCCCCTACATGGTGTTCTGGCTTGCTGTGTTCTTTGCCCAGGAAGGTTGAGGACTTCATTACCATTCTAAGACAAGGTAGCCATGAGGAAGACCCCATTAATCCACCTCTCCTTCTTAGTCTACCTTTCTCCTTCTGAAGCCTAACACTTCCAGCTAGCTACTCAAGGCCTCCTATCCTCTCCTTTGCCTCTGCCCACTAAATCCCTGTCATTATCCCCCTGCACCACCTCATTCTAATAAACTTCTTGGGGAGGTCCTTAGTAGAGATGAATAGCTCCAGCTCAGCAGACCCAAAGACCACCCAGCAGGGATTCTGTACCACTGGCCTGAAAGCCCCAAACTCCTTCACTCAGGCTTGTGAACACCACCAGTACTCCCACATGTGTACTTGGCTCCCTGAGCTATTTAGTTTTCTTCCCCTGCTCAGATCTGTGTGCCCTTACCCTCCCTTCTTACCTCTCCAGCTCACTGCAAGTTCACAGTTCCAACATCCATCTGGACATTGAGGATGCCATCTATAATCTGCCTTCTGCTCAGCCCCAAGTATCTATCTATCTGTCACCTGGATATCTGCCCCAAGTGACCAAAGGTCCTGCTAGTAGCCCATTCAATACTTCCCTGTGGTCTGGGCTTGGTGCAGCATCACATGTGCTTGGTGCAGCATCACATGTGCTTGGTCAACCTGTAGACCCAGAATCCTGTGGCTGAGTCCCTTGTTTTGCAGGTCCCTGGCTCTGTTGTGTATTGAGGACACACCCAATAAGCCTCTGATTCATGGGTCTTCCAGACTACTCCTCTCCTTTTCCATGCCCATAGAGGTCCCCGCAGGAAAATGTGTGCTCCTTATGAAATGCTTTATGAAAAAAACATTTTTGGTATTGGGGATT